AAAATTCAGGAAGATGATATTGTAAAAGAAATATACAAGTAAATCCTACACAACAAGCAAAATAGAACAAATCTGTGATTACACATCACACCTCTAAAATAATGTTTTCATCTATAAGCCATGCAGCTCTGATTATCTACACACATGACCAAAACATTACCAACACTTTTCATTTCGACTGCTAACAAGTTCACTGTGGGAACAATTTTCTCACTCCATTTGTGACTCACTCATTCTTTTCACATGCACACACCCAATTCAACTCCCATCCCAATTATCTCTTTGCTCTTACCTCTCCTTGTTGAAAACACCACTGTGCTGTGGATGTGGATGTCATGTGAATCATTTGTGTTGTTTATATTTTTAACCCAGTTAAGCAGAATGTAGGTGGAAAAAGTCATGATTAATGAAAAGTGTTTCATTGGTGTTCACCTGCTAATGGGAATTTCAACTTGTTCCACCACACAACATGCTTGAAGATGAAGGTCTGATGGGCTGTAATGTGTACTTTCCATGTGATTTGCAGGATTGCTTATTTTCAAACCTGCATGATCTCGGGCCTTGGCCTTTGTGACAAAAAGTTTATTGCAACACATAAGTCATAAGTAGCAAAAAAACAAACACGACAGAATGTGTATGACTCTATCTTATGAGGGGTGGCTGCTCAGCGGAGCTCAAAAAGGGTTCATAGATGTTTTGTTTAGTGATGGGCACATATTACAGAGATTTTGTCCCAGGCCAAAACCAGAGGTATTTAAGATTTAGCCCAATCTGTTACTTCACTTAAATAACATAAAAACTCAGTAGCTTTGAACAGCATGAAATGACGCACTACATGTAAGTGTTTATTATTCTTCAAAACAGAAATTTTGTCTCAGCAGGAATTTCTCAAAGTCCTCTACATACACTATGAGATATATACGATGAGATTTTCTTCACACAATAGCTGTAATATTTCAGATCATCAAAAAAATTCCCACCAGAAAAAGAAAGCCTGAATAAATATTAAAAGCACTTTTCAAAGTCGATCTGGCCCCTATGTGAAATACCTATCCCTTGAATTGACCCAATATTGGGATTAACTTTCATAAAATCCAGACCTGATATTGCTGTCAGACCTGATGTATCAAGAAACTACTTAAATACAACTTTTCCCTAACAATCCAAAGTGATGATATAAGACCTCATATCATCCCCCAATCTAAAAAAAACTTTAAAAGCAGATGAGAAAACACCAGACATCTGTCAGTTTGAAAATATTTACAAACTAGGACTTTGGGACTTCATAGAACCAAGGTCAGTAAACTAGAATTAAATTCTTTATAACTGTGATGTTTACCAAGTTGCTCTGTGCTACGCTACAGCTCTTCACCCACAGCAGAGCCTGCCATGAATGAGCAGACTGATAAGCATGGCCACTGATGACTGCAGATAAATGGTTTCCCTGTAAAGTTGGTGTCATGATGTGTAGTTTTAAAGAGGGTCCAGTTGCAGAGAGACAGCAGCAAACCATGGAGCTAAAAGTTGAATGAAAATGATAAAAACTAATAAAAATCACAGGGAACAGCAGGGAACCAGAGCAGAGCAAAATCATAAATCCAATGGAAAAAGCCAGCAGGGTAAACCAGGGAAGAGACAGGATGTAACGGGGTTAAATGGAATTTGACTGGATCAAATGGGAGGAGTCAGCAAAGAGAAGCTGAAAATGAGTTAACCAGCACTTTAACAACTTAATGCTCATTATGGTCCACCATGACTGTTGTTTTACTTCCTTCTTGCACGTATCAGGATAAAGTAGTGATGTTTGTTGAGGATAAATGACGTTCAGGTCAGATGAATTCAGATACAGATCACATAAGAGCAAAGAAATGGATTTGAGTCACTTCAGGCTGCAGTGTTAATGTAGCATATGTCTGTCTCTAATTTATTATATACATTAATAAATTTGTGTTCAGTTTTGTAGTGAATGTAATTTCTGTACCCAATCCAAAGAGGTTTGGAGGCCAGATATGAGCCTTTCATAAACCAGTTTTTTCCCCTTTCTTTTATATTGCCTTTGTCCTATTATTAACACATCTTCCTTTCATTTGTACAACAGACAAGCCAGGAAACAAAGACTCACGAGAATTGTGCAGAAAAGTAATAGATTGGCTGCTGCAGAGTGTCTGGTTGATGGAAAGTTCAGGTCATGTCTGGGACTGCAAATAGATGATTACCATCACTTTAAATGAATAATGTGGACATTTGCAGGAAAACATTAAAATGGTAAATGGAAATGGACTGAACTTTTATAGCCTCCACCATAGTTTCCTGCCCAGGCATAGTTCACCATCTTTTGGGTCCTATCACACACGCTCATGCTCCGCCTCCCTGACAGTTTGGGCGAGATGGGCCGGTGGTGCGCCCGTACTGCGGAGGGGCCCAGGATCCCACCTCAGCTGGCACGCTCCGGCCCTCACTATCGTTGCACCATGGGGTTTCGTTACGCCCTCTGACTCGTGTGCGTGTTAAAATGGTAAATGGACTGAACTTATATAGCGCTTTTCCAATCATTTTTGACCACTCAAAGTGCTTTACACTAGAGTCACATTCAGCCCTTCACACACATATTTATACACCGATACACAGATCGGTAGGCAATTTGGGGTTAAGTGCCTTGCCCATCAACATGTGGAAGATCGCAAGACGACTACTCTACTCACACAGCCACAGTCGCCCCGAAAACATTAAAACACCTCTGTTCATCCATTCATTTTCTGGGGTCAGGAGGTGTGCTGGAGCCCATCTCCAGCAAAGAAAGGGTGAGAGGCGGGGTCATCCTGGACAGGTTGCCAGTCCATCGCAGACCTCTGTTCAAGAGAATGTCAATTTGTGCTTAAATATTTCATGTAACGTGTGTATCTGTTTCCAGTAGTCACCAATTGATTCATATGATTTTTGTTTATCTCTCCCTCCTTCCCTACATCCAGACTGAATATAGGAAAGTTTATTCACCATTACACTGAAAGATTCATCAGGTAATTCTTTAGCTAACTGAAAGTGCTGCTGTAGCTCCAGCTTCTCTAGCAGCCTTGACACTTTAACTCTTTCTCGCTGTCACCATTAATCTCCAACCTGCAGCAGGCAACATCTTTAATGCTAAGCACATTTGAAGGCCTTGGTCTTGGCTCACACATTTAACCTATCAGAAGACAAGCAGGAGCATCTGCAAAAATATTACTGGGACACACATAGAGATCAACGTTTGGTATTAATGTTCCAGCATGTTTTTATTTTGATCTTTATAATAATGAAGAGTGTGTGTGTGTGTGTGTGTGTGTGTGTGTGTGTGTGTGTGTGTGTGTGTGTGTGTGTGTATTTGCTCTCATTGTTGATGCAATCTGCCTAAATTCCATTGACCTCCAACTTGTAGGCAAAGCTGTCACTTGGTTGTTTTAATCACATTAGGCATCTTGTATTGTCTTCTTCAAACATTGTCCCTCTACTCAATTAGGGCCAAAAAGCAATTGATTTTTTGTAGTTTGTCAGACCATGTTGAAAAGTAATTGATTAAAAATGGAAGCATATGTCTAAGTCATCAATCACAGAATAATTGCTGGATTCAGGCACCATCTCCGTCCTCCACTCTGGATTTCTGCTTTCTTTGCCTTTATTTATAGCTTATCCCTCTGGCACACACATACGTCTTTGTTCATGTTTGTTCACGCCAGACGTCCTTGTCTTTCGCTTTGCTCTGCTTACTTTTAAATGGTCCCAGCAGTGAGAATTTCATTAAGAGAATGAAGCAGGCCCTTTGTGATGAGGTCAAGGTGCTGGGTAATTGGTTTACAACAGTCCTGGGTTATTTTGCAGGCAAATGAAGACTTAAAGATTGGCAGCAATCCTGTCAACTTGGTAGTGTGACCAGTCACTACACAGCACAAACACCAGTCAGCCACAGCTTTATGAGCTCTCAAAGATCATAAAGCTTTATCTTGATTAATTTGTTTCTGTGTCACCTGATGGTAACCAGGTTATATTAAGTAGCACCCTTTAGCAACATGTCTATGTTGCTAAAGGGTGGGAAGCAAAAAAGCAACAAACAAACAAAAGTATTTAGATCTTTATCAGTAAGAAGTTGCACCAAATGGTTAAAGAATGGGAAATCAGAAAATGAATGACAGAGTCCTGGCCAACCACATCTTACCGAAGTATCTAATGTGGGAAGACTGGTTCATGTTGTCCAGTCCCAGTAAAGAATCAGTGTAGTTAGAACTTCTAAAAAATATAAAAATAAAAAAAAGATGATTCATGTTGTGATAGAAATGTTTCAGTAACAGTCTGCTTTGGGTTGTTGTGTATGTGGCCGAGTGTCCACAATACTCATCAATGCCCAACACTGAACCCTCTCCCCCCTTTTTTTGTTGCGTGCTAGTTCAATAAAGTATTTTTATTATTATTATTATTATTATTAATAATAATAATTTTGCATCAAAGGCTAGAGATGCTCAATTGCTGGCAGGACTACCATCTGGCTTTATCCCAGTCTTTAGTCTTATCTGTTTTAATAATAAAATTAGGCTATATATGGACATATTGGAACACAACAGAAAACAGAACTTGTCCTTAGAGCATCTGAGTTTATTTTCACAATTTGAGCCCAACTTTGGGTACATTCAATCTCACACGGTTCCAAAGATCCGAGATTAATCCCTGTTTTATAAAACAGCAAATAAAAAAAAAGCATGTTTAGATTTGTAAACTCAATCCGAATCTTGGCGAACAACGTTCTTTATAAAAAAAGACATGGCATTTCATATTTTTAAGCTTGCCTTGAACTCAAGGATAACTGATCTGAAGCAACTATAATAATTATTTTTTTTTCTATGCTTGCTCTCCTCACATAACATTTTACAAATGATAACTTTATCAACCACAATAGTTGTCAGTGTGTAGGATATATTTTAAACATTTTTTCAGAACATGTTCAAATGCACTTTCTGTCTTGTGCCTCTTTTCAGACCAGCTCCAAAGGCTTCAGCAGAGCAGGAAAGCAGCACTGACAAGAAAGAGCGTCCCATGAGCATCATGAGTGAGGCCTCTAACTATACTGGCGGCTCAGATTACAGCACCTTCCCTGGCAGCCCAGCTACCACTGTCACTACTGTCACCACCACCTCATCTACGAGGGTATTGCCTTTCACACAATATTTACTCTGCAGTATTTGCAGCACTTAGAAGAAGTTAATTGTGCATTTCTAACCTAATCTTGTTTTAAATAAACTGATACAGTCCTTGGATTTTCTTCAAATGTCAATGTCATCAATTTCTGTAATATTCGACATGAACAATACTGAATTGTTCATGTCAATAGAAGAGAGGGAGTAACTGGGTTGTCTCTGAGTTTTTCTTTTATCTGTTGCTAAGAGTTAGTTACTGTTAAGACTAAAACAATAGAATCAAAACTGAACAGTACAACAGATCCTCAGTACATGGTGATGTGTTAAATAAAACGGGATTCACAATTTCCTTTCATCTAAGTTTAGTCAAAGCACATCTGCTCCTGTCACCTGCATTACTAAGCTGACATACAGGAAAGATGTAGAATATCTTTCCTTTGAAGTGACACATTTATCTGTCTCTGTTGGTGCTTTTTATCAGCTATGAAAGCTACTTTGGGTTGTGACTTTACTTCAAACACTTTATGGATTTGCTGGTGTTACAGCTCAATATATTTCATTCATAAGAGCAACATTATGTCACATTAAAATCATTGTAGCTTTAATTTGATGTAAGCTCACCGATTAAAAAAAGGTTCATATATTCTGCTTCTTATGGGCACTTAATGATGGCATGAAATGAGGAAGCAAAGGTGGTAGAGAACCTTCCCTCACCTTCCTCTGTCTTAATAGTGAAAACATGTTCTTTTTTTAAAAGTATAATATGAATATGAATTTATAGAAGTAGAGATTTTTCAAGCTGCAGGGAATTATGAGATTTTTAACTTAAAAAGGAAGTGAAATCTTTCTCATTGTGTCCACTTTCTATTATGATGTGACTTCTTCTGGGAGAGTCTAAGTCTGACATACTATTAAAGATCTTAAGGAGTTTGCACTCAAGCCTGACCCTATTTGTGAGCACCATCAACTACAGAAATATTAATCTCAGTTTCAGTAAATTTTGGCCTTTAGTCTGTAAGAACATGTATGTATTAATTATTCACTTTCATTTTTGTGCTTTCGAAGCCTTCTAGGTCATCCAAAAAAGTCCACAATTTCGGCAAGAGATCCAACTCCATCAAGAGGAACCTTAATGCCCCTGTGGTCAAGAGAAACTGGCTTTATAAACAGGTACTGGTTTTTCAACATAAACAGTGTAAAACGTAACATACAACATAAACATGTAGTGCATTTCACATTAGTTGCAAAGAAAGAATGAGGAAAGTTTGGTTCAGTTCTGTATATAAAGAGTCCATTCTGAACGTACTGAATCCTGAGTTCTGTTGTTAAACTAGACTGTGCATTGGTTCATTGTCTTGCTACCTTTCCACCCTGTCACAGTAAGATATTTCAAGCTCACTGTTTCAGCAACTTACTCCCTTAAGGACAGCCTTGCAGAACACAATTCAACTTGCTCCAACTATATGTGCAGTCATTAGCTCTGCCTCTGCTTCAGGGCTTTCAAAACTGTCCCTATTTTTCCTCTGAGATGGCACTCAATTCACTTCAAAGCATCCCCAACCTCCCTCCACCAACAGGTAAAACTCCATATTGAAATGTCAGGAGGATTTACCCAGAGGCCATATCCTCAACATGAATGGTTGAGTGTGACTCTTGGTAAATACCTGTTGCTGTAGTGGTGACAGGTGTAGCACAGAGCAGAGGATCTGATCCTCAGCTCCATGCAAACAAAATAAAGGAGGATAAGAGGGAAATTGCTAAGTAAAACCCGTCAGGATGGACACAGAGTGAAGAGAGATAAATGGTGTGTGTTTGTGGGTGTTGGAGTAATTTCTAATCTTTAACTGTCTGATCTTGTACAACCTTTGACTCCTTTAGGACAGCACAGGCATGAAGCTGTGGAAGAAGAGGTGGTTTGTGCTGTCTGACATGTGCCTCTTCTACTACCGTGGTGAGAACACGCACACACACACACACACACACACACACACACACACACACACAGAGCATGCTGGAAGAGACTACTGTGTCATGCAGAGACACCTGAAGTGTGTTCACATTTTGTCATGTTACAACCACACACTGTGTTTTAATGGTTTTTACACAGAGTCCAGCTGTATAATACCATCTGGTTCTAAATTCAGCTGTTCTGGTTCTGGTCTCAGAGGTTTGTTGGAGAACATTAGAGACCAGGGGACCCAGCAAATGTTGTGGAAAAGTTTAAAGCAGGGTTATGTTCTTCACTAAGACTCTGTGTCATGGAGAAGATCTCCAGTAGTGATATATCAGGGTTTCCCCCAGTGTATTATAAGCCTGGCGGCCGCCATGCTTTACTAGCCCCACCGCCAGGCTAAGCGTTAATTGTTTACGTTTCTAGGAAAATAAAAAAGTAAATAAATAAAAAAATTGGGGGTTTTTTAAGCCGGGCTGCAAGCGTCTCTTTTGCTCTTAGCATTTCACTAGCAGAGCAGATTTATCCTTAAGGATAGGTTTATAATAGATAGGTTTATAGTTTATGCATTTAAAGCCGACAGCACGGACCAATCACACCTCTGCCCTTTGCCTCGCGCGCTGCCGCTGCTTTACCTCAA